TCACAAGGAAATGTATGTTCATTCAAAAATTACAAATTTTTACACTTTTAGCATGAGAAAACTGAAGTCTCGTTTCATCACCAGCTAGTTCATTAGTTTTGAAAGCAGTTTTTCTCACTATCTTAGCTCTAATGTTCTCAATTGGATTCTCAAGCTCAATATAACCAAAGAACACAACAAATTCTCAAAATCTAATAAAGTAAAAATAAATAAATAAGTATAAAGACTACCACAGTAAGAAAAACTACCACTATTGCTGCTCTAGAAACTATTTACTTTGAATAATCTACTTGTAGTTCCTAAGTTTTCTTCTAAATCCAAGATCCAACATCCTGTAAAAGAAAAAGAACAAATATCCCCATATATAAGACTCTCAATATTTACAAACAAGAAAAAACTAAAAAATTATAATAATTAGCATCTGACAAAAGAAAAGCCACTCAGAAGAACCACTGCAAACTAGCTGTAAAACGAAGCAAATACCAGCAAACTAAGTTCATCATGTTCATAATTAAAGTTGCCATTTACTTAGAAAGGATTTAGATTTGCTCCACAGTAACTTCAGAGGATGGTTTATAAATGGCCAAAGCAAATTACAAAAAGACTGAAACTTGACCTTCTAAAGCCATAAGAACCTTAGGACAGCAACAACAACACCATGAAGCTTGTGACGGTTCAGTTCTTCCAACTCAGCAAAGAAGGATTGTCTGTAAAAATTGTGAGGTAGAAGACACGGCGATGGGGATGGATTTCTTGGCGGTTTCTCATGTGAAGGCACTGTTGTGGAGGAACCTTAGTCTTGTGGCGGTGTCTCATGTGTGGATGAATTTCTTGATTTTTGCAGTCTGGTCTTTGGTGGGTGATGTGTCTTCTACATCGGATTTGCCGTCGTCTATGCACTGTCGTCTATACGCCGTCGTCTACGTCAAAGTCGCAAACGTCTCCACCGTTGACATAGCTGTCGTATACACCACCATTAAAACACCACCGGAGATGCAATTTGATATATCTTAAAAGATATATTGAATAATATAGACAATGAATAAATACAAGTTTTCTTGAAAAAATATCTAAAGAAACAGATTTCAGTTTAGAAAATAGAAAATCTAGGAAGAGAAAAAATGGAGATAAAAGGAAGAAGAAAAAGAATAAAAATAAAGCAGACTCACTTTATCTTTTATGAATCTTGACCATTAGATTAACAAATAAAAGAATGGCCATTGTTAAATCCCGCCAAAAAATGAAACAAATGTGATATTTAGTTATTGTATGGCACTTGGTTACAAAGTCATTTAGTTAGTTTTTAATTAGAAAATGAGTTTAGTTGGGCAAAATTACCTTAGTAATGGAAATTGTTTCTTAGTATAATAATAAAGTAGAAACTGACATTGGATGTAAATATTTCGTTTCCTATTATCCAACTCTTATATAAAATATATAATGCATTTTTCTTTTGTTGAATTTTTTTTTTAACTAGAATGTTACATGCCCGAGGACCCTTAATCATTTTAGATCCGGAGCCAATCTTTATTGATATCTTTAAGTGGCGTAAAACACTCCGTTGAAAAAAAACAATATTATGCATTTTTCTTTTGTCACTTCGATCTCTAGTCTGGACCACTTCGGTGGGGTTAGGATACTCAATTAGCAAAAAAAAAAAAAAAAAAGAAATCATCAAATTTTGAAGAAGAAAACTTAACATATTAGAAGCACGTGGATAACTAGAACACAAGTAACAATTTGTGACATAGAATTTATGCTTTTCAAAAAACAATGAAAGCTAATTAGTTCTCGACATCATAAAACTTAAGCCAATCACAAAATTTTTAAAACTATAAATAATAACTTAACATACGTAGATAATACTAGAACACAAGTAACAATTTATGAGTCTATGACATATTTTTGCTTTTCAAAAAACAATGAAATCTAATCAGTAATCGACATCATAAAACTTAAGCCAATCACAAATTTTTAAAATTATAAATAAACTTTCTATATCTAAAATGAACTGTACCATCTAGGTAAATCCCTATTTTTCAGATTCCTAATTTCATGGCACAATTTTTCATGGCACAAGATTGCACAAATTGATTTAAGAAATCAGACCATGCATGAAAATACTATAATAATTATTTTACCACTTTTCTTTCGGTTGTTTCATTGTTATTGAAACTTTTTTTCTTGCTTATCACAGATTTATATAAGGAAAAAGAAAGACAACTCATGCTGACATCAAAGAACGTGATATATTGGTGATGCTGTTGGGTCAAGATTGAGGTAATGTTGTAAATATAAAAAATTTAGTTTATTTTTTCAAGAAAAAAATAATGCTTGATTATTACCACCGTAAATTATTATGAATTTTTCTGATATATTATCCATATTTTATGGTTTTATTATGCAAATAAAAATTAACATTCTTGGGTATCGCTTGGCACCCAAAAATAGTAGAAACAACATATGTGGTGTTAATATATTTTAAACCCAAAGTGTACGGGACCAAACACTAATGTATAAAATAATCCTACAACTACAAGAAATTATTTAATAAAAAAACAAAAATGAATTTTAAATCCTATAAATACTAACACGAAAATAATATTTAATAGTAATTTTCCTTTTTGAAAATTTTTAACAAAAGAGAATTATAAAATTAAATTTTTAATTATTTTTATAAATAATTAACTTTAATTTTTAATAGAAAATTACTATTTAAAATCATAAGTCAAAAAGAATAAATATTCACATCTATATAGGTTTAAGCTTTGTCATCTTATTTTTACAAAGCACAATAGTACATAAAACAAAATATTACTCGAGTGTCTTTTTATTGTTGTTCAAAAAACGAGTATCTTTTTTCTTTTCTTGATACAACTCTAACTCTCTTATTACTATATTTTCTACATAAGATCTTATGATGATGTTGTAATTGTTGTATAATTAAAATGGTGTCGTTGTACATATGAATATGTGTTTGTACATGTAAGAAAATATAGTCAGTCACAATGTCACTTTATTACAACATTATGTTTGTACATATTTGTATAGCTCATAATACTTTATTACTTTTTATTATTTAGTATTTTATTTTTAATTTAACTTTTTATTTATTTATTACTGAGTATCATCAAATAGTTAATGAATTCATAAAATTATTTAACTAGTTTAGATGGGTAGTTGACAAAAAAAATCTAGAGAAAATAGTTTTTTTAAGCCAAATAGGTTTGGACATTGTCCCTTTAGGTTAAATTCATTAACTTATTGTCCCATTAGGCTAAATATTTTCTAAATGGTAACAATGCCCTTAAATTCACTTAAAAATTGTTATAAAATTATAAATAAAAATCTTCAAATCAGGGAAAAAAAAAAGACGAAAGAAACTGCTCTATATAACGAGATCGATCGATCCCGTAATCAGACGATCAATCCACACGCTCGATCTCGTGATTGAGCAGTTTATTGAAAAAACGCGGAGCATAAACGGATCGACTGCTTTAGAGTCTAATCGATCGTACCGATCGATCTGCGTGGATCGACCGATCCCCTATTTCAGATCGATCGATCCCGTCTTGTTTTGCTCGGTTATATTCGGTTTAATCACACTTGATTTGAACCGGCCAAACACGATTTAACAAAGGGATTTCGTGTTTTAGGGATCAAACCCCTCATTCTCTTCTCTTCCAACTCGAAAAAGAGGGGATTTCTCTCTCAATTTCACTAAACCCTAACTCACTCAATTTTACTCTGATTTTGACGATTCTTGAGCCTAATCCACACGATTTCGCGAGCTTTGTCCGAATCTATCACTCTTTCGTTCGATCTTTAAAGGTATAAAACTCAATCTTCAATTTAAGAGTTCAAAAAAACTATGAAAAAGTTGAATTTTTTTTTAGTTTGTTATGGTGTTTTGGCTTCAAACGTGTGTAATAGTTATGTTTAGGGACAATTTCGTACCTACCCCATGCCTTAAATCATAGTTTTAAGATATATTTATGAATTTGAAGTTTTGTTCTTTAAAAAAAAAAAATATTAGGATCTCGATTGCTTCATTATTATATGTGTAGCATTGGTGTTGAAATTGATTATTGATATATATTGTCTTTATTTTACAGCTATGGAGTTGGAGTTGGAGTTGCCTAGGCGTCTATATGCAGAAGGGTTGGAACCTCAGACTAAGAAGATTAATAGTAGCTGCCGAATGAAACTTTTCGAGCTTCTACGGAAAAAATTGGAGCCGGAATTCAATGAAGTCAAGAATGATCCCCTTTTCTCGCATATTATATCTACTGAGAAGAATCAGCTGAAGTTTTCTGCGAGGGTGGTACACGCGTTCCTCTGTAAGGAGTTGATGACAAGCTTGAAGCATGAGAAATGGTTTACATTTCCGGGGAGGCCTCTGCGTTTTCGATTGCAAGAGTATCATGCTGTCACTGGTCTGAAAGTGAAACAAGATAAGACCAGTGGGTTATTGAGATGGACTGATGATGGTGGTTTTTGGAGCAACCAGATAAGGACGCGTGGGAAAATCAGTGTGCTAGATATTAAAAAGAAGTATTTGGATGACTGTAGCACCTGGACTTTTGTTGATAGGGTGAGGCTGGTCTATCTATGTGTCATTATGGGTGTGGTCTTTGGGAGGGATGAGAAGGTGAATATCCCGCTTGAGTACATGAAGTTGGTGATGGATTTTGAGAAGCTTCGGAAGTACCCTTGGGGTTTGCACTCGTATGATTTCCTACTGAAATCGATGGTAAAGGCAAGGCATAAATTGGAGCAGAAGGAGGGGTACCTGATGGAAGGGTTCTTGTATGCTTTCCAGGTTTGGGTTATGGAAGCTATTCTTGCTTTGGGAGAGATGTGTGGGACGAAGGTCACGGACGATTTCATGGGTCCTCTGTGTGGTAATTGGACTGGATGTGCAAAATGTTCATATGATAACATCATTGGGGTTGAGACATTATTTCCAGAGAAGGTATGAATAGATTTCTGTAATAAAAATGTTTGATTGTCTTGTTTATTTTAGTAATGAATTTAATCTCTTCAAAATTATGTATCAAAAATGTTTTATTGTCTAAATCATTTTACTAATGATTTCAATCTTTTGTAGGGGATTTTGCACTCATTCCTCGAAGTAGGCGGAGATGGAGTGGTCCTTTTGGGTTCATATTTTGAAAGGAAGGATGAGAAGAAAGATGAAAGAGTTGAGCGCTTAGTGGATATGATCAAAGGAAACTACGATTGGAGAAATCATGTTTGGGGAGTATCGGAAGGAGGTCCAGTGTCTGAAATGGTGGAATCTGAGGAAGAGAAAGAAGAGGAAGGAGATGCCGATGCTGATACCGAGATTGGTGAGAGTAGTCATGTTACACCGGATGTGGATTCAGGTACAAAGAAGAGAAAGAATGCTGACCAAGGAGCAGATGCAAGGAAGAAGAAGTTGTTGTGCCAGCTAGCTGCTTCAAACAAGGGGAGCGGGAGCACTGACACAGACATGAAGCAATTCTTCGAGGGTTTGCTAAAAGCTTCATTTACTGCGTTTGAGGGGAAAATTGTACAACAGGTCTCCGATCGAATCGACAAGATTGAGACAGAGGTAACAAGCAGGCTTGGGAAGTTGGAGAGTGAGGTTTCACAGCTCAGGACCGCATTAGTCCTCTCCGAAATAGCAGGAAAGAGTGATCAACATACCGGTCCTAGCAAGAGTAGAGTAGACACAGCTCCTGCCTTCTCCCGAAAAGACACAGTTCCTGCCTTCTCCAAGAAAGACAGCGCTCCTGCCAAGACCAAAAAAATCACAGGTCCACAAACAAGAAAGGTAACGAATAAGAGAAAGGGTTAAGGATTGTTGGATCTTGGAACTAGTTGTTTGGAAGTAGTTTTTTGGACCTAGGATGCTGGAACTAGGCGGTATGACATTTTGTTTGTCTAGTGTGGTATGTTTGCATTAGGAACTTGTCGGATGTATGTGTGGTATTATTGATATGTAATATCTGGTTAGACATTTAGTTTGTCTAGTTTGGTATGTTTGTAATATGTATTAATGTTGTGTACTATATTTTAAATTAAAACCTTATTACTTTTTATGTGTGTCATCAGGCTGTGAAAAAAAAAAGAATTAATCACCGATGATCCGCTTATTGATTTATCTGGAGTAAACTTGACTCTATCACCAGGAATTGATGTGCATATGAGTACACAAGATTACTTGCAAAGAAGCTTTCCGGACCTTTCACAGGATACATTTGTAGAGGGTTTTGATCCTTCTCAACCTAAAACCGATGATCCAGGAACAGCACAGAAGATAACAATACCACAATTAAATGATCGCCAAATAGATCGTGCCCGCGAACCTGATGCGCCATTGGTATATGTGTCTAATGAAGATTTCGAAAAAAATGACGAACTGGCAGGACTTAAGAACGTAAGTTAATTACTAATTTATATTTTTGTATGATGTTGTCACTAATTTATATTTTTGATAACAGGGGTTTACAGGTTGGTCCATGTTTATTAGTGGATGATATATGTAAGCGTATTATATCTCCAACTGAGTGGCTTCACAACATTGTAAGTATCCAACTCTTGACTTGTAATAAAATTTTGGTATTATATAAATTGTTTACCAATATCAGCCTTGTTATTGTAGGAGATTGATGTTATAATGTATGTTTTCCGTGAAAGAACAACACTTGGGCGATGGAAAACAGATCGTGTTGCTTTCATGTCATGTGAGTTCAGCGACCTCATTAGAAGAGAGTACATCAGTTTTACAAGGGATGGTGCGAAGAAGTACAAGATGGATGTGTTGCTACAGGAATATGGTAAAGGCGAACTGCCTGCTCACGGAAAAACAAGAAAGTTGTGGAGTGTTGATGTGGATCGGATGTACGTTCCAGTCTGGGTCAATAAGAATCACTGGATCTCGTTATGCATCAGTTTCGTGAGTAGGCATATCGAAGTGTTTGATTGTGCGGGTTTACAGAAATACAGGGAGGTGGAAGCATTCGCAGTACTTATTCCTAGGATCGTCAAGGCAGTTCAGTCGGTGACAAACCAGAAGCACCTTACCATCAGTCCGTACGCTGTTAGCTATACCCCTATGCATAATCTCAACCAACGTGCTTGTCATTGTGGTGTATATGCTGTAAAACACATCGAATGCCATGTGCTTGGAATGGATTTATCACTGATTGATGATGATAACATCAAGACAGCTCGAATAAGGATTGTTTGGGATCTCTTTGAAGCAGGTAATGATCCAGAAATGTTAGAGAGGATGTCCAAGTATGAGCCTCCCACATATAAGAGTAATGAATGTATTGACATTTCATAATCAAGTTTTTGGTGTTTTTTAGGATGTTTAAGCTATTGTATAACACTTGTTTTTTTTAGGATGTTTAAGCTATCTTTACTTGCGGCAAGATTGAGTTTAGTGTAGAAATGAAAACTTATACCCAAAACTACAAAGGAAACTGCTCTATATAACGGGATCGATCGATCCCGTAATCAGACGATCGATCCACACGCTCGATCTCGTGATTGAGCAGTTTATTGAAAAAACGCGGAGCATAAACGGATCGACTGCTTTAGAGTCTAATCGATCGTACCGATCGATCTGCGTGGATCGACCGATCCCCTATTTCAGATCGATCGATCCCGTCTTGTTTTGCTCGGTTATATTCGGTTTAATCACACTTGATTGTTGGGGTCAAAATCGGTACGACGGAATCAATAGCCAAAATTCCCCGCAAACGCGTAAACGCAACAGTTTTATGAATCTCGAGAATCATTTTATAAAACTCGAGAGATCGTTTTATAAAACTCAAAGATCGTTTTATAAAACTCGAGAGATCGTTTTATAAAACTCAAAGATCGTTTTATAAAACTCGAGAGATCG